TTTGCAGCCGTCCACCGGTCGTAAGTCAAGGATTACCTGTAAGGCAGGCATTTATGCACAATTTTCTGCCGACAGGAGAGATTTATGAGAGAGCAAACATATCTTTAGCCTTTAAATCCCTTATTATTTGAGGAGCTCCTGGGAAATGTAAAGCTTTAAAAAGTAATCCCAAAGGTGCTAAAGTGCTTTTTTCAAGAGACTGTTGAAAGGTGTCAAAATGCCTTTCTTTCGAGGATTCGATTTTCCCACTGGGAGAGCTCCGGTGCAAGGATACGGACAACTGCTTGAAAGCTGGATCTTTTTATTTTTCAGGAAGGCGGGGAACAGTGAGAAGTCTGCGTTCCTGGGCTAGCTAGCTTCTTATGGTAAGTCCCTGGTTTTTTATACCCTTTTCTCCCTTTGTAAGTTGATTTTGTGTGAGTGTTTGTATTTGCGCTTAATGTTTCAAATCCTGTTTGAGTTTGTCTTTATTTCCGCCGGAGGGCAAACTCCGTGGGGTGGCCAGATTGTATTATTGGTTTTCTCTAATCTCTTTTAGCTTTAAGATAGTTTTTTCATATTTGTTCTGTGGCAATCTCCTGTCTGTCCCTTTTGTAATTTGTATTTTGTGTCTTTTGTCTGTTTGTTTTGCTTATTTGGTATGTCCTGTGTTTGTAAGGGTTTTCTAAATTATCTTTTTGTTTCCTTTTCTTATTTGTCGAGTTTTCTTAATTACTTAGGCTTTTGTCTATAGGGATTCTTTAATACCATTTTTATTTGATTCCTTTTCCTAGGTAAGTTTGCTTTCTGGCTGACCTGATGTTCCCCTTGAGCTTTTCCTGTTTTTTTGTGACACTACTGTCTTCGTGAAGTTCCTTTTCCACGAGGCAACTGGATTTTCTTGTTTTTCTTTTTTCTTTGAAGATGTTTCACTTGCCATCCAAGAAGCTTCCTCAGCTCTGACTGGGTGGTGGGGAAAACAGGAGAACAAACCCACCTGGGCAAAGATTCAATGGTCCGTCTGGATTTGAAAGACAAATGTCACTTTTTTGAAGGTAACCAAGTCCACATTTTGGACAGAGAAGACCGCTGGTTTGAAAGAGGGGTCCAAGAAGCCACCTGTGTCAAAATTGAACAGCTCTCTCTCTCAACAGAGGGGAAGGTATATGGCATCTCCAGTCTACCACACCGTCCTTTCAGCAGTTCCAAGGAGGCTCCACACCCATTTGCACTCTTCGGGTGACTTTGAGGACACAGATAAACCTCTGGGTGGCCTCAATGACCCTCTAAAAGGATGCAAATGACCAGCTGTCTGCAAGGAGTATAAATCCTCCCATTCCCCACCATCCAGTTAGAACTGAAAAGGCTTCCTGTCTGAGAAGGGAAAGGTCTTCAAAGAAAAAAACCCCAGAAAGTCCAATCGCCTCTTGAAAAACAACAACCACGAGACAACCATGACTTGGAGGACTCTTCACTGATTTCAAAAAGCAAGGATAGCAAAATTCTTCCTCGAGCTAATTGGAAAGAAACCCACCTGAGCATATTCACACAATGTCAACCTTGGAGAGGTTTTTCTGGACTACTCTACAAGATTTGCAGGGACTTGTAAAAATCTTCCAGGGGAGGAAAAACCAATTTCTTTCTCAGCTGCTGCAGAAATTTCCTTCCTGGAAACTTCTGCAGTTATAATAAAGGCTTGGGGAAAATTAAAAAGAAAAACAAAACACGTTAGATATGTTTTGTCTCTTCTTAATTCAAACAACAGCAGACGGCACAATGGCAGCAATCATGTTACAGGGAGTTAAATAACTGATGGTAAATTTCCAGGGTCAGTTGCTTTGGAAGCCTCTGGGTGGGGCCTGTAACTTTTCTCATAAAAGCAATCAGTTTGTGTGGGGGTGTCTTGTGTGTGTGCATCTGCTTCTCTTTTGCTCTCTCTCTCTGTCATTATCATCATGTACTATCTAGTTAGCTATCTATCTATCATATTATCTATCTCCATCTTTAATCTATATCTCTATCTGTCCATCTATCATTATCTATCTATCTCTATCTATCCTTATATCTATCTATCCATCGATTTATATCTATCTATCCATCTATGTATCTATGTATCTATGTATCTATCTATCTATCTATCTATCTATCTATCGATCTATCTATCTATCTATCCATCCATCCATCCATCCATCCATCCATCCATCCATCTCTATCAGTTATCTATGTATCTTCTATGTATCTATCATCTATATCTGTCTGTCTATCAATCTATCTCTAACATTATCTCTATCATTTATCTTTCTCTATCTATCTATCAGTATCTATCTCTGTCTGACTATCTGTCTGTCCATCCATCCATCCATCCTACATATCTATCTATCTATCTATCTATCTATCTATCTATCTATCTATCTATCATCTATCTATCTATCTATCTATCTATCTATCTATCTATCTATCTATCTATCTATCTATCTATCTATCTATCATCCATCCATCCATCCACCCATCCATCCATCCAGTCTGTCGGTCTGTCTACTGTACCTACCTACCACTCTTTCTCATTATCTTTCTCCCTCTATCTCTCCTCTAGCCTTACTAGTTCTCTACATCTATCTATATGTCTGTCTATCTATCTCTATCAGTTAACTATCTATTCTATGTATCTATCATCTATCTCTGTCTGTCTGTCTATCTATCTATCTATCTATCTATCTATCTATCTATCTATCTACTGTCTGTCTGTCTATCTATCTATCTATCTATCTATCTATCTATCTATCTATCTATCTATCTATCTACCTACCTGTCTACCTACTGTCTGTCTATCTATCTATCTATCTATCTATCTATCTATCTATCTATCTATCTATCTATCTATCTTCATTTATCTACAAGTAGTCCTAGGACCGCAGTTCCCCATGTTAAGCAAGACAGTTGTACAGTGAGTTCTGCCCAATTCTACACCCCTTTTGCCTGCTACACCTGTTAAGGAAATCACTGCAGTTATTAAGTGAATCATGAGGTTTTTAAACAAATCTGGATTTCCCCCATTGACATTGTTTGTTGGAAGCTTGCTGGGAAGGTTGCAAATGGTGACCACATACTACAACCACACTAAATGTATGCCAAATTTTATTAGCTATGTTACATCAAAACACACAGACACACACAATTTGGCTCAGAGGGAATGAACTGCGTTTGGGAGAAGGCCGGTCTGCCATTTTTCTCCAGGCATGGTGAATGTAACAGCCAAGGATTAACCATCGTGTAAAATTGGGGAGGTTTATTATTGATAAGTTTTAAAATGTGGTCCATCCAGAATTCTATTGGAAGCAAATTTGGGCCTCTCCTTTTTGCAAGATTCTCGGTGGAACAGGCAGTGGAATAAATATATCTCTTCCTAATATTAATAGTAATAATGAGGAAGAGGAGGTAGAAATTGAGTTGAGGCCACCAATTAGCAGAGAGCCATATTCTGCTTAGTTCGCTGTAAAAGCAATTACAGCTTCTTTTCAATATTTCCTGGAAGAACTATCCAAATAATTGCCCTGGACTTCCATGAAATGGAGAAACTGATTGCTCCCAGCTCTTTACAAACAGCCTCGGTTATTTCCAAGGAAATAGGAAACGGAGGACATTTCCAGGGGAAGTTGAAAGAGTCTGAAAATCTTCCCTGGAGCCCTTGAACCTATGGGAAGAGATGCCACAGGTTTATCCTGGGTGCTCTCTGAGCTGGGTGGTTTTCTTGCAGACGTCTCATGACCCAACTAGGAAACATCATCAGTGCTAGGAGGGAATGGGGTTTGTGGAGAGGAGGAGGAGGAGGAGGAGGAGGAGGACTGTGACTGCTTGGTGCTCTCTGAGTTTGGTGCAGGGTTTCCTGCTTGGGCCGGGGGGTTGGACTAGATGACCTACAAGCTCCCTTCCACCTCTGATTATCTGCATCAGATTGCATTTTAAGCTTCCGCTCTTCGTTTGCATTTTCAGCCATACATTTCCTTTCATGCACATCATGAATCCAAGCGCATCGGTGCAGAAGTTGTTTATATATTCACGAGATGTCAACACAACTTGTTTTGGTAGGGTTTTTTTTTATACGTGGAACAGAAATAATGGTAGATCATCATTAGAAACAAACCTGAGAAGATTTACATAAAGTCTGGCTTGTGCTACATAGCTCAATCTTACATAGTACAGGTAGTTCTCGCCTTACAACCACAAAATTTCAGTAACTAAGCGAGGCAGCTGCCATTTTTACTAATTTACTTGCCATCATTTGTAAGTGAATCCCTGCAGTTGGTAAGCTAATATGGTTGTTCAATGAATCTGGCTTCCCCACCAAATCTGCTTGTCACGTGACCCTGGGATACTGCAACCGTCATAAATATGAATCAGTTGCAATGGTCTTAAGTGTGAAAAACTGTCTTAAGCCCCTTTTTTCAGTGCTGTTGTTAACTTCAGTTATTAAATAAACAGTTGTAAGTTGTGGAGAACTTGTACATAAAAATCTGCAATGATTCTGACAGAATTCACTTTACGTCCAGTTAAGCTGACCGTCCACTTGTCAGAGGACCAAACCAGAGGTGGTATTCAGCTGGTTCTGACCAGTTTTGGAGAACCAGTAGCGGAAATTTTGAGTAGTTTGGGGAACCGGAAAATCCCACCTCTGACTGGCTCTGTCCCATCTATTCTCTGTCTCCCAAGTCCCAGCTGATTGGCTGGGTCTCCTTTGGTTGCCCTGCACTGGAGAACGGAGCTGGAAAGCAGGTCAGTGGGGTGGGGAAAGAATGGGGATTTTGCAGTCACCCTGCAACACCCACCAAGCCACACCCACAGAACCGGTAGTAAAAATGTTTGAATCCCACCATTGGATCAAACACAAATTTTAATTCAGTTTGATCCGGATCGATGTCCCCAACTTGTGCCATGTTCTAAACCAAGCGAAATGTTTTTAAGGGCAAACCAGCCCTCATTTTCCATGGAGAGAAGAAAAACAATGACAACCAGCAATACATTCAGATATTCAGATGTTTTTACTTGGATTTTGTGGAACATTTCTGGATGGAAGATACACAGCGAATAATCAATACACTTTAGGTTCCCAAGCAAGGCAACTGTGAAATTGTCACCAATTTCACAATTTTAGTGACAGTTGACATCCGTAGAAAATGAAGTTAGGAAATAAACATATTTAGAGAAGCGGTTTAGAGAAGAGAGATTCTTACATTAAGGTATGGCGGTAATCTTGTAATATGTATAGCTTCTTTATCAAAGTATTTTTTTTCTTTCATGGTTTGGACAACATGCAAAGTGGCACGCATATATGTACATGCTAAGCAAGAGCTGGTTATTAGGCACCACGCTTCCAAGTGACCCTGTTTAATGCCTTGTGGGGATATAATCTATAAGTGGTCATCAGTGAGCCATGTCAAGCGATGCTAAAACATACGAAGAATGGTTGCAGGAATTAGTCTAGTTTAATGCAAAGAAGGACTAGGGGTGACATGATAGCAGTCTTCCGATTTGAGGGGCTGCCCCAAAGAAGAGGCAGTCAAGCTATTCTCCAAAGCACCTGCAGGCAGGAGAAGAAGCCATGCATAGAAACTAATTAAGGGCAGATCCAATCTAGAACTAAGAAGAAATTTCCTGACAGTGGAGAACAATTCAGTCGGTTGAACAATTTCCTTCCGGAAGTTGTGGATAGCTCCAATACTGGAGGTTTTTAAGAAGAGATTAGACAGCCATTTGTCTAAAATGATATAGAATCTCCTGTTCTAAAGATCTTCAACAAGCGAACAGGATACCTTGGGTGATGAGGGATATCTGGAGATGCTTCAGCAGGAGAAGGCATCTGTCTGGAATGCTATAGTAGTGCTTCCTGAATTGGGCAGTGGGTTAGACTAGATGATCCTAAGGTCTCCTCTCACATTCAGTGATTCTAGGAGAGGCAACTACACCCTCATCCCAGAGAAGGCCTACCTACCTACTGTATGCCAGTCTCTGTCAACCTTGGTGACTTTAAGATGGGTGGACTTCAACTCCCAGAATTCCCCTAGTCGCATGCTTTAACAAGTATAGACTTCAACTTTCAGCTGGATAATTCTGGGAGTTGAAGTCCACCCAAAGGTGAGGAACACGGCTCTGTTGCTATTACGAGTCAACGCGGATTTGAGGGCATCAAAATGTGTGTGTGTGTGCGTGTGTGTTTATGTGTGTATTCTATTCTCTAAACCAGGGGTTCCCAAACTTGACAACGTTAAGACTTGTGGACTTCAACTCCCAGAATTCCTCAGCCAGCATAGTCTTAAAGCTGCTAAGTTTGGAGACCTCTGCTCTAAACAAGGGAGAAAAATATTTATTTTCCTAATATCTCCAAATGGCCCAGGTTCTCTAGAATATTCTACTAAATTTATTTTTTGCCATTGACTTTCTCGTTTCTAAAATCTGGAACTTGGTCTAAGATCAAGGCATTTCTCTTCCTTGGCTTTTTTTTTCTTTTCTCCTCTCTCTCTCTGGATAACATAATTCCATATTTATTCCTTGCTTCAGGCAGGCTCTTCCTATCATTCTAGGCTGAAATAATACAAAAATAATCTACTTTTTCAAGGCACCTATCCCTTTGGCTCCAGAACAACAACAACAACAAAAAAGAACACACGAGGCTCCAGGAATATCTCCCTTCAATTCTCCCAAAAGGCTCAAGTTTAGAAATTTGGAGAGGGGGAAAAAAAAAAAAGTAAAAACACAGAAGGAAAGTCATCGCAGCTTACAAAAAATGGAAAAATGGCAGGTCATTTTAGAAAGAGTCTATAATACTGATCCAACAGATGCACGTGTGAAAAAAAAAAAGAGAGAGAGAGAGACAGAGCACGTTTTCGGAAATGAGTGCTTTGGCTTTCCGAGATCCCCCTCTTCCCTTTATTTCGGTTTCATCTCTACTCGCGAGTCGTCAGCGTCGAGATCGTACTCTTCCACGCTGCCACTGGTCCAAACCTTCATACGGTCTGTGATCTCGCTGCTTCGTGGGGCCAGGATGAAGTCGTAGATGAAAGCCGCAGTGGCGCCCCCCAATAAGGGGCCGACCCAGAAGACCTGAAATCCAACCCAAAAAGAGCACCGATCAATCATACGGCTGTGCCCGCCCGCAGGTTGGCAGAGCTTCCAAGCCATCAATCAATCGCTACCCTGTGTGCAGGGGTGGGATACGAAAGGGTTAACTACCAGTTCGGGATTTACCAGCTTCCCTGCCCACTGTAAATCATCATCAATCATCATTAGCGAGTCATTAGCACGCTTGCCTGCAAGAAGCAGCCTTTTTCTTGTTTTTTTTTTGTAACTGCAGCTGTGCCTCGTTCGGCAGCTGAAGTTGAAAAACCAGGAAATAAAGATCAGGTAAGAGCCCGGGTGGGCTGGTGGGCAAAAACATCAGCAGACATAGAACCGGTTCTAGGTCTGCTGCTCTTCGGAGCTACCGGTTCTACAGAGGTGGACAGAACCGGTTGAAACCCACCCCTGCCTGTGTGTTCCCTCAATGCATGTTGGATAATCTCTACCCCAAACAATGCAAGAGAATATTTGGATCTTGGGGTTGAATGGTCAGTTCCTTGGTTCTCTTTGAGCCTGGGAGTTTTCTTGCAGGCATTTCGTGACCAAACTAGGTAACATCATCAGTCCTAAAAGGGAACGGATTCTAGCTTCTAGCACTGATAATGTTACTGTGATGACTCAAAGGGGCGTGGCACCAGGGCAGCACAGTCAGATAATCAGTAGGGGTCCCTTTATTAGCTCCAACTTTGCCCCCAATGTCCTGGTTACCTTCTGGCTGGAGAAAAACTCTCCCAGGAACAGCTTTTGGATGCAGAGAATCAAGTCCAAAACATGGTCAACAAAAACGGTAACTACAAGTCCAAACAAGGCAAAATGAGGTAATTAGTCCGACAGGGCAGGAGAAGGAATTCCAGATGTGAAGGAATGGCAGTAATTCAACATGATTGAGAGGATGCCAGGAACACAGATAAGCAAAGTCAACACAAGATAAACTCACATTTGCGACCAGCAGCTGCCGCACTTAGCATGCATCTCTTTTAAACTCTCTTCCCAGGTGTGCCTAATGAAGGGAATCAGGGCCCTTTCCTCCCCCGTAAGCCACGCAACCCATATTTCTCTCTTCTCCATTCCTCCCTGCGTCCCCTGGGATGAAGAGGGGCTGGGCCTGGGTCTTCCTCTGAACTCCCTTTCCCCTGTTCTTCATCTCCCCTGCTCTGCCCAGCCGGACCTTGCCCTTCCCCAGTTTCCTCCATAGCCAATGGAGCCACACTCCCACTCCCTGCCAACTGTTCGGATTCAGACTCTGACAGGGGCATGACAGTTACCTAGTTGGGTCACGAAATGTCTTCAAGAAAAGAACCAAGCTCAGAGGGCATCAAGGATGTTACAATCTCCTCCTCCCCCTCCCCCTCCTCCTCTTCCTCCTCCTCCACTCTGATACCCAATCCCTTCTAGTACCGGTGATGTTACTTAGCTGGGTCATGAAACGTCTGCAAGAAAATCATTAGGGAACTTACAAAATGACTACACCAATAGTCCTCGACTTAAAGCCCTTCACTTAGCGACCTTTCGAAGTCACAATGGCACTGGACAAAGCGTCTGAGGACCAGTCATCGCACTTATGACCATTGCACGCGATGGTCATGCGATCGAAGTTCAGCATTCGGCAACCAATATGTCACCTGCTTTAGAAGCAGAAAGAAACAGCAGAAGGGCTGAAGTTTGGGGTGACGGTTGTCAACAAGGTCGTGTGCACATGTGTGTGTGTGTGTGTGTTTGTGTGTAACGTGACACTGCTGGAAACTGTCACCCCAAACATTTGGAGGGCAGCCCCTCCGACGTTTCCTTCCGCTTCTAAAGTGCTTCTCTTTGCCTTTTCCTTAGCTTATCATTTGCTTTTGCTGTTCCCGCCGCCATCTGTATCCTGAAGTGACACCCAGCAACTTTTAAGGTAACTTCGATGAAGCTTCTTCTATCCAAGCCTGGGATTCTCCACTTAGCCCTTCCGTGATGCATGTGTCCGGCTTGCGATCCCGATCGGAAACCTACCCAGTGGTCAGCGAAGTTAGTGGTCACCAGAGCTGATCCAAAGGAACGTGCAGGGTTGATGCCGCAACCAGTGTAATCAATCTGTGAAGAGCAAAGAGAGGGAGGTTTGGTTAGCTGGGAGTCGTGCCTGCAGGCCAGGATCAGTCATTTCAGCAAGAATTGTTTAGGGACTTCCGTTCAACGCAGGAGAGCTGAGTTTCCAAGTTTTAAAGATAAACGGGCAATTCAGGCCAGAGTTGATGAATGCACCATTCAGAGGGTGTTCTGACTTGATAAGGCCTCATTTGGAATATCTGCATCCAGTTTTGGTTGCCAAGATGTAAAAAAAGATGTTGAGACTCTAGAAAGAGTGCAGAGAAGAGCAAGAAAGAGGATTAGGCGACTGGAGACTAAAACATACAAAGAATAGTTGCAGGAATTGGGTATGTCTAGTTTAATGACAAGAAGGACTAAGGGAGACATCAGAGGTGGTATTCAGCAGGTTCTGACCAGTTCTGGAGAACCGGTAGTGGACATTTTGAGTAGTTCAGAATCCCACCTATGACAGGCCCCGCCGACCCCATCTCTTCTCTGCCTCCCATTGAGTCCCAGCTGATCAGCTGGGTCTTCTTTTGTTGCCCTGCAGAGGAGAAGGGGGCTGGAAAGCAGGTTAGTGGGGTGGGGAGGGAAGGGGGATGTTATAGTATCCTACCCCCTGGAGCAGGGAGGGAATGGAGATTTTGCAGTATTCTTCCCCTGCCACACCCACCAAGCCACACCATGCCCACCAAGCCACGCCCATAGAACTGGTAGTAAAAAACATTGAATCCCACCACTGGGAGACATGATAACAGTCCTCCAATATCTCAGGGGCTGCCCCAAAGAAGAGGGAGTCAAGCTATTATCCGAAGCATCCAAAGGCCGGACAAGAAGCAACAGATGGAAACTAATCAAGGAGAGAAGCAACCTAGAACTAAGGAGGAATTTCTTGACAGTTAAGAACAATTAATCAGTGGAACAATTTGTCTCCAGAAGTTGTGAATGCTCCAACACTGGAAGTTTTTAAGAAGAGATTGGACAGCCATTTGTCTGGAATGGTACATAATCTGAGCAAGGGGTTGGACTAGAAGACCTCCAAGGTCCCTTCTAGCTCCGTTATACTTTTATTCTATGCACTGATTTGCTTTCCAATTTGAGGACATGTCAATATCTTCCTTGTTCCTTGAAAAACATTGCAAAGGGCGGTGATAAATGAGGCAATCTGAAAAACCGAATCAGGTTTGTGTGTCGACCAAATGCCCAAGTTAATACTTATTGTCCTGCCTTAGACAGGAAGGCCGTTTGGGTGACTTTGAACCAATCACCAGGAGATGGTGAGTTCTAGTCCTGCTTTAGTCATGAAAAAGCCAGCTGGGTGATATGAATCAGCCCAAGGTTGTTTTTTGTTGTGAGGAAAAGAGGAGGAGGGAAAGTATTAAATATGTTCACTCTGTTGAGTTACTTGCAAAAATAATGAAGGCAGAATAAAAATAAATAATATCTTTCTCTCATGTATCTTTCATTGATGTTTATGTAGTTTATGCACTCTGTGTGAGTGTGTTTGTGTGTGTGTGAGAGAGAGAGAGACAGAGAGTGGGGCAGAGGCAGAGAGAGAGGCAGAGAAAGAGAGAGAGACATAGGCAGAGACAGAGAGAGAGAGACAGAGAGTGGGGCAGAGGCAGAGAGAGAGGCAAAGAGAGAGAGACTTAGGCAGAGACAGAGAGAGAGAGACAAAGGCAGAGAGAGAAATACAAAGAGAGAGACGCAGAGAGAGAGAGAGAGAGACAGAGAAAGACACAGAGAGACAAAGACAGAGATAGAGACAGAGAAAGACAGAGACACAGAGAGAAACACAGAAAGAGACACACAGAAAGAGACACACAGAGAGAGACAGAGAAAGACAGAGAGACAGACACACACACAGAGAGACAGAGAGACAGACAGAGAGAGACAGACAGAG